TACTGACTTAGTCCTGGCCTTTTATTCCAATTTTGTCCTAGACTTTTATTCCAGCTCTCAGCTGAAGCTACTGACTATGTCAGTGACTCTTACTAATTTCAATAATGAGCATAGATCCTTGCAGGTCTTCAATTCATAATTAGTTCAGATTCATTGCTTCATGTTGGCCTGAACCCCAACCATGACTTTAAATTCCCCAGTGCCAGCCTCAAAAGTATGATTGACAATGTGGTCTCCATCACCTAAACCCTCGAAGTAGTCTCCCTCAATTTCTTCTAGACCTGGCTTTAACCTAAATGGCTCATCTTTTTTCATTTCCAAATGTAAATTTCAAATCAACTTTCAGTCTATTCTTAAGACCAGACTTTGAAGGAATCATAACTAGATCACCTGGACTGGCAGTAGGTTTCATGTAAGCTCAACAATCCCTGCGAAATGCAGAAACAACCCACGTTCACCAGTTCCTGCCCAAGTACATCTTAATTTTAATTCTGACTATAATATTAATCTATATTGGTCCCTACATTCTGTTTTATTTAGAACTAAGCATAGTTTGTGGATCCCTCTAAGCAGCAGCATTAAGCCAAGCTTGATGGCCACTTATAAATCCAATATTGACTCATGGTCTCAGCTTCATGTTGACCCAACCCCTGAAGTTAACCCTAATGTGAAAGCTAACTCAGATTTAAGCTCCACCCTGAATACATCACTACGAAGAAAGCAGCAAACTTTCCTGAATTCACTAAGCTAAGTTAAGCATACCATGCAGACCCTACTGGTAAGAGCCATAAACTAAGCTCAGGCATTATGCAGGCTCATCCAACATACTAGCCTGAATCCAAGCCCATAAGCCCAGTTGTAGCTGTTCCCAAATCCTACAAACAGGGTTCATCATAAAAGCTAGAGCTGTGACCTGTTTCAGACTGTCAATTTAGTATAGCTTTGTAGGCCTTTATTTGCAGCAGTCCTAAGGCCCATACTAGCCAGCCCACCCTTGCCCAGACTCCATCCCCAAGGCTGATATAGAATTTAATCCAATCCCTAAAGCTAGATTAGTGATTCCAATTAAACCATAGCCCAAAACTATTCATACAAAAGGCTGTTAGTTACAACCTGGGGCATATCAACCCCAGAACTAACTCTGATCTACCTCTTCCCAGTTATCAAAACAAGGTAAGGCCTCCTGTATTACCTAGATTGAATAACTAGCAGGCAGCCTCAACGATTTTAAGTTTAGCTTGATGGCCCCTTTTATTCCAGCTCAGTAGTATTGGCTGCTGTGGGTCTCCTGGCCTGTCGTGGTGCATCTTTGTCCAGAGGTATGGCACTAATGACCTGTATTGTTGTTTCTTCTCTGGACCGCTTGCTCCGTAAGCCTAAAGTCCACTCAGTTCTGATCCCACACTGAGGGAAATAGCACTGTGCTGTGTCATATAAAGCATCTGTTCCCATTCCAGCATATCTGTGATCTTCTAATAGCCTGCCTGAAATGCAAGGTTCTGCTAAATGGCTCATCTCTACCTGCTGCACTGCCCGCTCCCTTCCTCTCTGTGACCACTGACCACTTGCGTACCGGACAGAGGTAGCTGGCAGGATGCTGATCAGACCAGTACAATGCATTTGGCATGTGGGATGACAGTATGATCCACAGGTTCCCTGTGGAGTAAGCAATAGGAACCGATTGCATCAAACCAGTGTTCAATGTCCATTTCGTTGCAGTTCCACCCTTTTTACAAGTAATTACACTGTGCTTTCTCTATGCATTTAAAAGTAAAGGCAAACTTTCTTTCACTAATTTTCAGTCTGGAGCAAAATTCCCATGGTCCTAATTGCCTTCAGAGTCAAAGAACTGCACTTCTCTTCCAGCATGAATTCTGTAAGTTTCCCTGCTACTTGCTAGGCATGGGACCACGGCACACAAGACAATCAGTTCTTCTCCAATATTGCTTTGTCTTGATTAATATAATTTGTATTAGAATCAGTTTTACTTTAGAAGTGGCAGCAGATCTGACCTGTTCATCCACCTCTCTTTTGCCTTTTCTAGCATCAGTTCACATTCAGTGATACTGGCAAATAGAACAAAAGGATTTCATTTTTCATTTTTCCTTCTCTGAAAAAAAAGGGTGGGTGTTCTTTTTTCCTTTAGGCAATATTCATTTGACACTGATTGTGTCTATCTACATTTTTTTATCACAGATTTTCTGGCATATATGTATTCAAATCAACGTATTAATGCATCCACAAAAATGCAACTGAACTGAGTAATAAAGACCACCAAGTGGTAACTCCATTGATTCTTCATATTATTTACTGTAATGCTGCTACACTACCAAAGGTAAAAATCTTCACATGCAGTATCCATAAAAAGCTAAGACTTATTTCTTTTCCCACAGACAAAACTTAATGAATTCATCAAACCACATATTTGACTGAACTAATGGGTCATAAGATGGAAATTTCTCATTTTTTTAGTTTTTTTAGGTTTTGCTAGTTACAATTATTACGGTTTTGTCTCGTTCTGCAACACTATGAGAGATTCCTCTTAACTGGCTGCTTGAATACTAGAATATCTTTGTAGTGCTCTTTGCTATTGATAATGAATTGAAATTTACAACAGTGTGATAATTCATGCTACTCTGGTTTTGCAGCCATCACAAGAATCGGCACATTTAACAGTATAATATTGTTTCTTATCTCAGATAAAGTGCAGATAAAGTAATTTACACTAAAAAAAAAACCATAATGCAAAATGGTTCACATGAAAAAAAGAAAATGACTGGAAATGATGCATATAAATCACATGAGAGTCACTATGTACCACCAACTATGCTTCTTATATAGGGCCTGATGGACTAAGACCCTGTCTGCTAGCAATTGCCTCTTCCTCTAAATTCTAAATATTGCTCTTAAGTAAATTCAACAATCGAGGAGTTTCCAGCTTAAAGCAATTATTTAGGCCATGCCATTTGTCAGCAGAGGTAGCCAAGCATTTCAGGATAGTGACATATCCATTCCCTTCATACTGCCCTTCCCCATCTTATCTCACTTTGAATGGGAGGGATCTCTTTCTCTTCACTGACTATAGACTATAGAATAAATCTGTGTGACCCACTGAGATGGGGAACCTGACCTTTATAGGACTAATTTTAGGAGGAAATATATCCTGTTCTGAATAATCATGAAGAAAGAACTCTTTTCCAGTACTGACTTCACTTGCTGTAAAGCCTTGCCCAATAAATATTTGTTTGAACAGCCTGTATTACCACTACATGTCATTGGGAATTTTTATTGAAACCAAAACTTTCTTGCATCATTCTAGCATTTTTGGTCGCAACACAAGACTTCACCCTGAATTAGGAAGCAGTTGAGCTGAAGTCTTCTACATCTCAGGTACTGAACTGTGGTGTCTCATTTCTGCATAAAATATTTCATATCAGGAATTCTTCATGAGCTAGCCCAGTCAATGCTCCTTATTACTTTGCTGCTGCAGTCAGACTTCTCATGATAGAAAACACTAAAGGAAGTTATACAGGATTAGAAATAAAAACTTCATCATGGTACCATCCATTTTCTCCCACCAAAAATACCCTACTATCTAATTCCACAATATCCAGTATATATTCAATGGACTGAATGGGATTATGGACATCAAATAACCTCAGAAGACTGGATTTAAATCCAAATATGAATCTGATGTTAGTATAATCTGATTGTAAAATAACACCTGTTATTTCATTAATGTGTAGCAAGAAGCTTGTTTTGTAAGTCTCCTCTTCTCTTCTCTTCTCTTCTCTTCTCTTCTCTTCTCTTCTCTTCTCTTCTCTTCTCTTCTCTTCTCTTCTCTTCTCTTCTCTTTCTTTCCTCTTTAATATCATTAGTGAATATTCTTCACCTGGCTTCTCCAGAAACGTACATAAATGCATGTTTGTATACAGAGTATCATGGCACTTTTTTTTTTTTTTTTTTAAAATAGCTGATTTGGGGGGTTGCAGTATTTTTTAATCATTTTTTTTATTTTTGGCATAAATGGATGTTTGTATATAGAGTATCATGGCACTTTTTTTTTTTTTTTTATTAAAATAGCTGATTTGGAGGGTTGCAGTATTTTTTAATCATCTTTTCTACTTTTGGTCTCAGTATACACAGTTGCCCTAAACCCATGAAAGTTGATGACATCTTTTTGTGGATTTCCACCAGTAGAAATTTTGGGCTCATACCACAAGTAATTTTGGAATCCCATGACATTTTGTGGCACGGTTTCATTTGTCTCAGTTATCCAGCTATGGTAGCAGGCTACTGCAATTAGTTAGCTTATGATATTTGCATATTTTGTTGGTTTTATTTTAAGAGAAAGTAGTTTATTTTAAAAGAAAAAAAATCCCCACAATATGTTTTATTTATTTCCTGAGGACTTTCACTTACACAAGTAGGCACCAGACATTTGAAACTGACTTTCTGCACAACAGTAAAAAACTTAAGAATTTGGCTTAGTTTCATTTAAAACAGTAAAAATTGACCTTGTAAACATTTCCATAGGAGGTAGGATGCATACATTTGACAATCTGTCAAATAAGAGATAGTAAACAGTTACTCTGTGATCCTAATAAATAATGAGCAACACAGGCATTAAATAAACATTTTTATACAAAAAGATATAAGTGAAACACTAAAATAGCATTTTAAATAAATTAGGAATAGATGTAATCATTTCTTTACAACTTAGTCTTGCTTGCAAGAATCACTGGTTCTTTCTGCTCACCCTGAATTTCTGACCGAAAAGCTGTAATGGTCAGAACAATCCTGAGGGATTCACAAGCAGGACCCAGCCTGAATATAGCTATTTTTTTTTTGTGTGGAGGGCTGCTGATATCTCTAAAATGGCTTCTTTAACACCTATACGTAATACTTTTCTATTCCACCAACTTGAAGGGGATTGTCATCATAGCCTTAATGTCTGGATTTGGAAAGTAAGCTTAAGGCACTGACATGTTCCTCTCAGCTCAAGTTCCTCCAGCAGCTGCTCCCATGAAGACAGTGTTGATTGGTGGTAAAGATGACACCATATCTCTGCTTGGTGGGCCATGGGACTCCAGATTTTCCTGAGAAGGGAACTGACCAGATGTTCCATACATACACTGGGAAGAAGATGCGGTTTGCATGTTTGAAGCTGTGAAAAAAAAAAGGTTCCCATCATTGCAAGTTTTCTATCTATCGAATTTAATAAAAAACACAATCCAATTTCATCTGATGGAAACCTTATCTACCAGGCACACCATCTCAAGGGTGGAAATGTCAACACTTCTATACTTCACTCAATTTACCTATACTTCTATAACTGTTCTTCAATGGCTCCTCACGTCATCAGGGTACAGGTCAAAAACCATGTATAAGCAAACTCTGCTAAAAATCCAGCTACGGGCCTGAAGTTTATGGCTTGCATATGAGCCATCTTCTCTGAAAATTGTGCAAAGCTATTTATGTGCGCTATGCTCGTCTTTCCGTATCTTGCACCATTCAGGTCCATATTCAGTGGTGGTACCACTGCCACCACCTGGCACATATCAACATAGAATACAGAAGATACTTGATGGGCACAGTCCATTTGTGGTGGTGCTGGGGTTTTTTCCCCCTCTTTAGCATCCCTTAAAGAACTGAACACTGAATTCTTGCAGAGCCTTAATGAGGCAAGTAATGTCTGATCTTCTGTGCAGGGTTAACAGGTAAGGAGTAGGAAGAGGTAATCTTGTGGCGAAACAAACGGTGCCCTAGTTTATATCTTCCGTGCAACCCTTTTTGGAATGTGAGACCAAACTCAGCTGCAATTTGTTTAATGTATATACCAAAACAAACCCTTTGGGGTTAGGCAATTTCACCTGAAATTCATTGTCAGTGGGAGCTTTGCCTAATACACGCAGTTGTTGAAGCATAGGACAGGAAGGGACTATGCCACAGGAAGTATATATCTAGACATCCCCAACCCAGGGTTCATTTGGTTTGTCCATTTGATCCTTAAGAGCCCTTAGAAGAGCTCAGTCTGTTATTCGCTCACTTAATAGTTTCCCAATATGGATTTTTCTGCAATTCAGGACAGTCATTCTACTCCTCATGGATCATAGTCCTCCTTATGGGAGTGAAGAGTTATTAAATCCACTGTCCTGCAATTTTAAGGAAAACACATCTTATGATACATCCTAGGTACTGAGCTATTTTATCTCTATATTGCATCTCATATACTATATATGTGAGCTACAGTTTAATACTTGGCACTTGTTAGGATGCTAAAAAGTTCATAGCTCTTCCTCAGTCGTTGGCTATACTTACGCATAGGAGTCCGACAGACAATTGAAGGTGAGGACTCTGTGTAGTATGAGCCTGTTTGTTTTCTTCCGCTGTCATCCAAGATGTTCAGTGGATCATGTATATCATTGTATGATGGCAATGATCGAATGCTGCTTACACTGCTGATTACAGAAACATGTTGATCCACCATTGTTCCCAGTCTGTCAGATTCTGGATAATTTATATTGTTTCCATAATATCCTATTGACAGGAGATTGGAAAAAAGCAGAGTGAAACTACTGGTGAAGAGAAAGGGTAGAGTAGGAGCCTGTGATAATCTGGGACAAAAGGTAATTGTCGCCAGCTGAGTCCCTTGAGAATAAGATTATTTATGTACACATACAGCCTAGTAACATTAGTAACATATGCAGTGACTGACCCAAAAGAGGGGTGGTAACAAGGGAAGAAAAGCATCCTAAGAGTTCAGTCATGCCTTCAGTACAGAATTGCCCTTCCATTCTAAGTTCAGAATCAAACAGTAGCCTGCAATCAGTGGCCATAAGAGACACCATGGGGACTCCTATCCACAGTTCAGTGCTCCCTTCTTAAGCTCACAATCAAGGAAAGTATACCTGGGAAGAAAACCTGCATGGTAATACCTACTTACTGCATATGCAAATCCATATGAAAGCAACATTGCCACTGTGTCTTTCCTCCAGAAGAGGGAGGTGGTTTTGCTGACTATATATCTGAAGCAGATTGTGGCAATAACTTTACGTTTGAAATATGAGAAATATTAGCGCCAAAGTCTCAAACTAATGCTAGTGCACATTTTTATATTTCGTTTCACCATCCTGACCCTGTGACTAGAATGGCCCATTATGCTGATCCCAGAGGTACGCTATGCTTATGCTTGCTCTGTTTCACAGTAGACGTTTTGGGGGCTTCTCAAGAGATTGTTAAATCACAAGGTCATCCTGGTTTTGCTTCCTTTGTGCAAGACATGTCAATGGTGCCAAAGGAAAATTAGCATAGGTGCAGCAGATGCATTTGAGGTCAACTGAGGATTGACCAGAGCAAAATAAATCCTTAAGTAGCTTGTTAAGCTGCTTTACAATCTCTGTGTGTCGTCAGAGAAGTGGAAAACAGGAAGTTATAAATAAAACTTGAAAAACATCCTCCATAGAAAAAAGGAGAGAAGAAGCGTTTTACTCCAGCAAGGGAAGAGAAACAGAAGGGAAAAAGAAAATATATATTAATACCGTTGGAAGCATTAGCGGGATATGCTGCTCCTAGGCATGTAGACACTGAGTTGCTCAAGAAATTGAAACTCCCCGTATTCAGAAACTGCATATTGTCCTGAGACATGGATGAGGGACCATAGCTGGAAGGAGATCTGGCATTGTATGGAGACACAGCACAACTGGTGCTGAAGTAGTCTCTGGAGAACTGCTGTTCACTCAAGGCATTGAATCGGCTGTGCTCTGCTCTGTGGTGGTAAACTCCTGAAGTGGAATGGGCCTGAGTTCTGAACATAGCCTGGTAATTGGAATTGTTTCCATAGTAATTCTGATTACTTTGTGACAAAGTCTGATAAAGGGGTTCTGAGTAGGAAGAGCACTGTGAATGTGTGGATAACACCGGACCTCCACTTGGAGGTCTCACAGCCATTGGCCCCTGGTTGATAACGCTTCCTCGGCTGACCATGGCTGGTGAAACGGGTGGAGTCATCAGGTGACCGGTGCTGTGGGACAGCTCCATCTGACCTGGAATAAATAAGCATTAGCCGTGATTAGCGTTCATACTGCAGTACTGATGAATAGAGTGGATCTGTTAAGACACTAACCCTTTAGTGAATTTAACATCACCATTTGAAACCTTTACAAAGGATATGCATTGGCCCCACCTATACAACCCATGTTCTTTAATTCATGGCTTCAGGCTACAAAGCTTCCCACTTTCATTCTCCAGCTTGGAGGCTACCACATTCAGTGGGAAATTCCAGCAGTTACAAGCCTCGTGTGCTCCAGGTGTTACTGTTCATTCTCTCCTCACAAGAACCTCACCAAGCCAAGACATATTGGACAGTTTTACCATTGTTGCAAGAGGATCTGTTACAGAGGGTGAGCTGACAAAACGTTATTTACTAGAGGTCTTTATAAATGCATATGGTAATTGCTCCTCTTACAGCAATGTGTTACTGTGGACTGAAAGACTTAACAAGCAAATAAGAGAAGGAGAAACTAGAAGAACTGATACATACCTGTCAGCTGCATATTCTCACTGTCTCCTGTGGCGAAGGGGTTCAGACCAGAAGGTACACTGCTGGGCTGGCTAGCTGACAAGGACACGTAGGTTTGCTCTGCTAGACACTCATTTTTGACTGAAGTGTCACTGGGCAGAGGAGCAGCTTTGTTACGATTTGCTAGGAAGCAAGAGCTTGGTGATGCAGTAAAGGTGGCTTTGCTTGCATCTGGAAGGGTAAATGAAAACTCTTGGTGGCTGTTACGTATGCTCATTGCACATAAACTCACCACTAGTATATAGACAGCATATGAGCTGCCTTTTGTATCTTTGGTTGCTTATTTTAAAAGCCAGTGAAGCCTCCATATTTTGCATGTAGCCAATGAATGCAAATATTGCTCTAGTCTTGATTTTCCCAGTGGAACTCTTTATATCATATTCCCTGACCACAGATCTACACCACAGATTATCAGCTCCTTACTGAAGCCATCATAGTAAATGTATGAATCAGATTTATTTCCTGGAAGTAAATGTCAGCAATTAAGTCGAGCAAATTGCACTAAGAGCGAATCAGGCTCATGACACTTCATCCTAAAGAATTAACAATGGGAATCTTAGAATGCTTGAACTCTATTTTCATATCGATAACTAGAGAAAAGCATTTGTTATACTCAGTAGTTCTTCAGTTTTCTGCAGACCATTGATAAAGTCAGTGGAAGTTTTACTATTCTTCAGTGGAAACCATGACTTTACCTTATGGTTTCAAGTAATTCACCTAAGTATCCAAGGATAAGGCAACCACTGCATAGGACAAGTTTTTTCCTGAAGGCTGAATTAAAATAAAAAGCGCAGCATCTACTGTCAGACAAATTCTATGCAAGTTTCTTGCAGCAAAGTGCAGATTTAGAGTAATAACAACCAAAAAGTTAAAGATTGATTGCTGGTGCTAATGTTAATAAAAAGTAATTCAGCAGAACCCAGTGGAGTTTCACTGGACTTTTAGGGATTAACTTGGACCAGAATTTGATCCAAGTCAGTCTTCATTCATTTTATAGCACAGGACCTGGAGCATATGACTTCAAGCTGTCTAACCTTGAAGAAGCCTGGTAGATGGAAAATGTTAAGGATACTGTTTTAAATTCATTTTGTTTCTCTTCCACATAGTAATACTTCAGCCAGGTGTTAAACAGGACTCCAAACTTGTGTTCCAACCTTGCAGGGATATTTGCATTTTGGTAACATTTAATACATTCCTAGTTCAAGGTGTTATTACATATTTAAGCTTTGGCAGCAAAACTGGATTAGGAATTCCTGCCCTTTCTGCTACTTATACCTTTTTTTCACATTTCAGCTTGTGGCCGTTCAGATGCATCTACAAGTGTTTGTTGCATCAAAGATCATATCAGTGATCCAGTGTATTCACATTCCCACAAAATGTTATTAACTGAACTATGGTAGGAAGGTGGGAATGAATTGCTGAGTGAATGGCCACAAGCTTTTCAGGTGAATTTGACAATGTTGCATGTAACTACGCCTTCAGGAGAAGATAGTAAGCCTGCTTCTGTTTAAAGTTAAACAAATACGTCAATTTCTAAAAATACAGGCGTACATTCAAAAGAACCAAGCTCTAATTACCTAAATTCTTCATGTATTTGTCCAGTAGATTCTGGAGTTCTTGTTCTTTGTCATTGTTGAACTGTGTCTCCATGGCGAGCAGGATGTACTCATCTAGTAGCATGCGGATCAAATGAAAAGAACCTTTCGGAGGAAAAAGAGAGAGAGTAGCTGAGTTATCTTTGTGACCATCTCTCACCACTCTACAAGAAGCAAGTGAAACAAACAAATAATTGTGGACTTTAAATGACCTGGCAAGACCAACAAGGAATAGTGCCTAACTTCTAGCTCTAATCTCTCTTTGCACTGGCCCACCTAGCTCAATTGTTTACTGTCCTGTAGGCTATTTGACCACTAATTACATCAAAGAAAAATACTGATGAAAGTGAGACATGCTTTATACTTGAAGAGGGCACACAGTGGAGCTAGATAAGGCCAAAGTCTGCTAGAATGCCTCTGCTCTATTTCTGTTTGCCTTGTGCTAAATAACCAGACAATAACTGGTGAAGTCTTTGACCTTATTTCAAGGATATATCACATTAAAAATATGTGTCTCCTTACAGCCATTTCAAATACTCTCTGAATTTTAGACAACAATGTACCTACAACTAAACTTAGGAAATTTTGTACTAGATTTAAAGTGAGTTTAACTTGCTCTACCATCTTCTATTTTATAAAAGGTTCTTTCTGAGAGTCCCCAAAAATGTAAACATTTCTAAAGATGGACATGTGAACCTTCATTTTTAAAAGCCACAAACACTGCTGAATTGACTGTCTGCTGATCCCAGAATTAAATGAGTAGGGATCTGCCAAATTCCTTTTGCTTTTATGAAAATGTACCATGCACAAGAACTTCTATACAGCAGTAATCTTTTACCAGACTGATCCACATGTAAAACTAATAATTTAAATCTTCTGTCTCCTATACTGAGATATGCAGTTACACTTCCATTGCCATATCAAAACAAACAGAGCTTCTAGCTCTTAAATGGCAAAGCAGTATCAACCAGCAATTCAAAAGAAAAATACCTTTGAAAAATGAACATGTGACACAGGTCACCAACAAAATATTGTTATCATTTACTGTGAAATGTTAGTTTGAAAAACACATTACACGGCATTTGTGGCTTTGATCAAAGACTTTAGACTAGCACAGGTTCCTCTGCTGAGGAAATGGTGGAAAGCTGGTAAGTGCTAGCACATATGTATAAAATTTGAGTGTTTTTACAAAGCCCAGGTACCAAAACTTGATGCGTTGTTTAGGGTTAGGTTATGCATCACTCGAGCACCAAAAAAACTCCATTTGAGAAGGAAGTCTTGAGCTCTCTTCTTTAATGACCTCCCATTTTGCTTGCTTGCCTGAAAGAGAACAGTAAAATACTGTTAAGTATGTTAACTTGCTTTCTGCACACAGGAGAAAAGAAAGGAGAACTGAATATGCTTGAGAGTTCAAGGAGTCCTTGACTCAGGTTGATGTGGCAGGGTGGATCAAGCTGCCTGATTCAAACTGTCTTCATAATATGTGTCGTAAAGTGATAAAGAAGAGCAGCATTCACTCTTTTCAGTGCAACCAGAGTAGAGCTCTGACAATGTTAGATAAAGCAAACTGCTTACCTGCTTGGGCTCTGCTGTGTCCTGAAGGTATATAAATTAGCTCATATTCTAGTATTAAAGGTGCCAAATTATTCTGTAAATATACAGGTGTACAAGGGAGAAAGAAAAAAAAAAAACACCCTCTGGCACTATGTTATTCCACATAAACAGGGAACAGAAATTAGTCTTTGTACTTTAATGTCATCCGTGTAATACTGGCCAGACTTTCTCTTACAAAATGGTATGTTTACTATCCTAACATTGACACTTTTAATGCTGCTCATTTCATACTGTCACTTTGCTCTGGCAGTGATTTGTTCGTGTGGTAACGTACGCCCTGTTGCTTTCTCAAACAGCAAGCAGAAAGAAGCTGTTGTGTGAGTTTGACAGTAACCACACTTTAGCATGAACAGAAGGCAGACAGCAATGGAAGGATTACATGTTCTGTAAATTATTAGCTTCTGCTTAGTTGACCTAGCTGCATATCAGGACTTGTAGGTATTTCTTACCCCAACTACAGGAAAATAATGCTAGGAACCATACCTGTTAACTTTAATAATACAGTATCACATAGTAGATGCTGAATGGGAGAGTGCTTCACCTTTTCTGCCTGGCTTGTTTATCAAGAATTGTCTTCTGAAATTGTGGAATCAATTTTAGACCATAATAATTCAGTTCTAAAATAAGTTGTGACTGCTCAGCTTCAGTGGGAGTTTTGTGTCTAGGTAAGTGTATATGAGGACTTGGTTTGGCTCTGCTGCCCTTAATCATCCAAAGCTCCTCACTGTGCTGCTCACATATGACAGCAAATGTTAGGAAACTCGGAGTGCTTTAAAAAGAAAGAAATTATCACTGTCTCCATTGAAATTTGGGAAAACAAGTGAAGAAAGGAAAAATGACATGCCCATGGTTATTCTGTAAGTGGCAGTCACTCTTTTGCAAGCCAGTCAAAGCTAACTGCACTGTCGCCTCCTCTTGCATCCATTCATGTCAAGATGCTCCCTAAAATGATGGATAAGATATTGCATTTCCAGATAGAACATGACCTGATGAGAAGACCAGTGTTTAGCTACTAGGAAGCAATGTGTAACATTTTATTCTGCTAGTTCACATTTATTAGAGTCCTAAATGGGGTAAATATCTCTTACTTGAACTGTATCTTCCATCCTGGTCTGTAGAAATCCTTCAACAGGTTAGCTACTTCTGAATCCATCTGCTACATTAACTTATACCACATACAGTACCATCCAAATACCATGAAAGAAAGAACTGCTTCTCTAAGGAACTACTTTTGTTCACCTTACTGACTGGGCGCTGTGATTCTGTGTGCGCAGATAAGGTGGATGGGTTTCTTTCACGTACAGTTTATGACAGTGCTGTCTTTAATGTTTTAGTTAAGATACTTCCTAATTTGTCACACACATAAGACTGTTCAACAGCACTCAACATGATTAATTAGAACTAACGGCACTGGAACCTTTCACACTAAATGAAGAACTCCCCTGTTAAAATAAAGAGATGGGAGCAGATATGAGAATCCCATGTGGGAAACCAATGGGACTGAGTAAGTAAGGGACTGTGTAAGGAGTAAGGGGAGTAGGATTTGGTCTTGAGTCAGGCAGAACATTTGAAAGGTACCTTGATAACCCTTTGCTCAACCACAGTATCCAACCATTCAATAAATGATTCCACAGTGGCATTCTTCTTTAGAAGGTCCTTCAGTTCTTGGAACACTGTAATAGAGTCATCTACCATGTAAAAAGGAGAACATATCATTGCACGCTATTCTGAACGTGAGAAAAAGCCACTCACCAGCCACATGACACTATTGTAGCATGGAAAGAAAAAGCAAAGAATTAGAGCAGTGAAGAAATGAGCAATTCCCCAGCAAAGCAAGCGGACACACATCCATCACACATATATATTTTAATTACTTAAGCATTACAATGATACAGGTTGTAAGACAAGGAAGTTTTACAAGAAAATAAAAGCAAAAAAAAATTCTGGTATTTTCCATTCATTTTGAGATTCAGCCTTGAAAACCTTTCCATTACTAAGTTATTAGTAAAGCTTTATCTGTAATGTGGCAGACTTGTATGCTGTCTTAGGTTTCTCTTATATTTTACGAGTTTCTAACAATACAATGTAAAGCTAACTTCCCCAATTCCCATTTTTTAAAAAGTGCCTGAATGACCAGTTATTTCTCTTCTCCTTTTCTTTTTTTAACCAGTGTGAAAGAAGATAAAGAACAAAATAGAAAACCATTACACAAAAAGTAGGAAATGGCAACTCAGATGAAAATGTGAATAGGATTGTGAACCGTTAAAGAGAACAAATTTTCATGATCAAAGTAACAATATTTAGAAGACAACACATTGCTATTGCTCTTCTTTCAGCTCTCCAAACTCTGATCAACATGATTCCTATGACAAAAGTTATCTTTTTAATAGAGAAAATGGTTATATCTTTTTTTCAACAACAGGTATGTATATGAAAACTAACACCCTCAAAATTTGTACTTTACTCCACTCTATTCTGTGTATGAAAATAGCTGTTACACTTTATAGAAAATTATGCATTTTTTTAAAGGTCAGCTTTCAGTTAAAAAAAATCTATTCATAAAAAAAAAAAAGTAAACTAGCTCAAATATCCATTAAATTAAGTCATAATTATATGGAATTTTTGAGACACCTTTCAAGAACTGATCTGTGCTAATATCCCCATTTGATTAGGACAAAATTCAAAAGAGATTTTATTACACTTAGCAACTGACATGTAAATGATTTTTTCAGCAACCATTTAAAGTCATCTAGCTGGGATGACTTCGCAGCATAAGCTTCTGTTCTTGTAGGACATGCTAGGGCAACCCACTGGTTTTCTTAAGCTACTGAAGTTAACCCCGAGCTAGATTAGAGAATCCAGTGTCTATGTGTGCCTTTTCTCAGTTCATCTCCAAGTAGACTAGTGTGGCATGGAATGAAAGAGTGAATTACTTTTAATGATACAGATATATCACCATGGACTTACATTCACTGTAGACCTCCCCATCAGAGTCTGTGCTCCCTGAGACTGCAAGGAGTGCCTGAGAGCCAATACTATTCAAATCAACTTTTTCAATATCCGACACCATGGAATTCACCACATGCTGATCAAAAAGGGCTGGCCGAGCAATCTGTAAGGGAAGGCAAGGTAAAATGCTGAGACCCTGTTGTGGTTTAACCCCAGCTGGCAACTAAGCACCACACAGCCGCCCACTCACTCCCCACACCCCGGTGGGATGGGGGAGAGAATCAGAAGTGTCAAATCAACTTTTTCAATATCCGACACCATGGAATTCACCACATGCTGATCAAAAAGGGCTGGCCGAGCAATCTGTAAGGGAAGGCAAGGTAAAATGCTGAGACCCTGTTGTGGTTTAACCCCAGCTGGCAACTAAGCACCACACAGCCGCCCACTCACTCCCCACACCCCGGTGGGATGGGGGAGAGAATCAGAAGTGTGAAAGTAAGAAAACTCATGGGTTGAGATAAAAACAGTTTAATAATTTTAAAAAAAAAGAAATAATAATAATAACAACAACAATAATAATAAAAAAAATTGTAAGGAAAGGAAAAAAATAACAGAGAGAAAAATACAACTCAAGAAAGACAAGTGATGCAAATGAAAACAATTGTTCACCACCAACACACCAATGCCCAGCCAGTCCCTGACCATCACCCCTCACACCAACCTCCCCCCTGGTGGTATTGCTGAGCATGATATCATATGGTGTGGAATATCCCTTTGGTCAGTTGGAGTCAGCTGTCCCAACTATGTCCACTCCCAACTTCTTGTGCACCTCCAAGCTACTGACTGGTGGGGTGGTGTGAGAAGCAGGAAAGGCCTTGACTCTGTGTAAGCACTGCTCAGCAATAACTAAAACACCCCTGTGTTATCAACACTGTTTCCAGCACAAATCCAAAACATAGCCCCATACTAGCTACTATGAAGAAAATTAACTCTATCCCAGCCAAAACCAGCACAAACCCACACTTAGGGATCACCTGAATAACTCCTCAGAGAAGAATCATATTCTGTTCAATTTTCTTATCATGGCTGGGTTTTTCATAGATCAGATGAGACAATATTTCCCTTCCATTAGACTTCTAATGCTCTCCTAATGTGCCTTCCTATCAGATCATCTTCACAGTGTCACCCACATGCTACTTCTGTCTTAATATTTATGAAAGAGAAAACTAAGTCAAGATGAGTATATGGTGCATCTACAGTTATTCCTGAGGACTACCACCTCAAAGCCCGAGCTGTTAGCACTTAAGTTCCCCAGAAGGCATTGTATCCTTTTGTATAATCTACCAAACCATCACATGGAGGTACCTCCTAATTGCAGATACCTGTATCCTGCCAACACAGCCTTGGAGCCCTCAGCTGCCTGGCACTCACATGTTCTTCTTTCAGTCGAAATTCAAAAAGAAATAAGCTCACTAAAAGACACCATGGACAAGACAGAGAACCTTTGCTAGGCAAGAAGGATCATCTGATATTTTCCAACTTGGAACTAAAACAAATACCCATATATTCCACTTCATCATTTGATTGCCAAAAGTTCCCATGATATTAGTTCATTATAATCATGGTCTTTTCTCTCTTTTCTACTACAAAAGTTTGAAGTTTTGGTCAGATCTATTTATGGCTGCTTCCTTCTTGCATGGTTAAAACTACCAGGTGCAAGTCTTCCATGGCTGAAGTTGAACCTTGAAAAAATAACGCATTATATCTCATACCCAGCAAGGCGCACTGAATGGAATTGACAATTTTTTGGATGTATAGTCTTATTCAGTTTACCTGTGCTAGGTGCAGGAATGATGTCTGTCGTTTCAGGGAGGAAACAAATCTTCGTGCAATAGGCAGTTTCTTATCTGTCAGGTTTTCTGGTAGATTTTCCAAAGAGGAAACAACCCACTGTTCCCAGTTTTTTGCAAAGTTTCTTATATCTGCCAGTAAACTATAGGAAAAAAATGTATTTTAGAGAAACATCAATAAAAATTGTCTTGCATTAGTTTAAATAATTGGGTTTCAATCTATGATTAACAGAATCCTGGACATATCTGTGAATTACTCCTCAGGTGTCACCAAAAGGAAACAGGAAATGATTAACCATCAAAAGGCTAAAATTGACTATATATTGATCTGTGCCTCCTCTGAGAAAAATTGTAAGCCATCTGCCAATTGAAATAGGTTGAAAAACACTAGCTTTAAGAATAAACCATAAGAAATCCAAGAACCATTTGGAGATATCTGAAGCTAAAGGCCTTAGTCAGACATAAAACCCCAAACAAGATGCCCTTCAAGGGAAAGGAAAAATGAGAAGATTCAAAGGTATCTTATAATAATCCTCTTATTAATGTCTTGTTGAGAAAATGCTTAGATATTATGGTGATGCATAAGATACAAACCTGAAAAGTATTCTGAAAAAAAGGTAACAATCACTTTTCCTTAAACAACCCGAGTACATTTGTTTCTTTTTTGATCTTCTAGGGCTTTAGTGTAGAAGAAACCTATTTCAAAATATCCAACAAGCCAGTAAAATGGGACATTAAAATACTGTGTAATATTTTAAGGCTGTTCTATAGCTGTCCTCAGAGCGGACAGTATTTTACCATACATACTCTACTGTTCTAAAAATGAGCATAAATATTGTGGGAAAATTTCCCTAGGATATAGAATTTCTGCTATTTACCTGGAATATGCCTAACAAACAGAATGTAGCATTATTATTGTCAAATACCTACCTTTCTGGCATTTCTTGCATTGTTGCAGGGATGAGCACATCTGTAAGGACCTTCAAAAAGGTAACAGAAAATTATATCAAGCTTCCACTGGCCATTTATTCATTCATATCTGTCTTGTCTACTTAGATTGCGAAGTGATAAGGACAGGAAATTTATATAGAATAAAGCCATTCAACCTATTGTCCAGATATTTATCTACCTAGATTTCTCCCATCACTACTAAATAGGAACACGTCAGATATTTATATACCTAGACTGCTCCCATTCTTAACATATGCCAGCATGCCAGTAAAACAAGAAAGTGCTGTCACTCGTGTCTTACAGTAGGGAAATCAGTACAAGTGAGATGCATAAACACTTCGTCTTTTCTAGCATCATTGTGAGTCTCAGTAAAGCAGATACCCAAGCATCTCCCAAGTCCTTGAGTGCTATTAGCCATATTAGCTATTAGTATTAGTACTCTTCTTTCTGCCGTAGTGCATGCGGCACTGAAGGTGTTCAGAGTTTAGGACAAATCCCCTATAGCTAAGTGTGGTTGTTTTGGCAAAAACTGTGCCATCTGGCATGCCTTCTGGGGGCTGTTATTGTGGAGAGCAAAGTTGTTAGCCTATATCCCAAAAATCTATTTCCACTACTAATGTAAATGGCTTGATAACAATGCAATAGAATTCCTCCTTCTTTCTGGCAGCTGTGCTGTCAAGAATATCTAACATGATTATAAGTGAGAAATAGTGAGAGGCAAAGAAGAGGTACAATAGTAAATTTATGAACTTTTGAGAAATTCTGTTTTATTCAATTTATAATTTAGTGCTCCTGTAGTATTTCTTCTTCTGTCACATTAAATATTTATTACAAATAAAGTTAATATTGGATCTCTTGGGACAGCATATTTCTAGCAGGAAGAAACTCATAAACTCAAGGTACAATATAACCTCTGGAAGTAAATGAGGCTTAATGGCTCATCTCCAGGGTAGTAATTATGACCTCTGATGCTAATCACCTTTACTTCACTCTGCTAACCAAAACATCTCTTCTTACTTTACAGCTTGATATGCTTCTAAGAAATGCGTATTCTCATCTTTTCTGGATTTTTCCCCCATATTTTTGTACAGTACAGAATGATAAATAGATGACAATAAGGCACTCAGTGCTAAACAGCCCCAAGTCTCTTGCTTTGACTGCTTGGTGTCTACTGTTATGCCAACAGTTATTTCTTCCCATTGATATGTGGTTGTGAAATGTGTTAGAGAGAGGATGACAATCCTTTTCTATTTATATGGCATGTCCTATCAGAGGAACTTAAAAGTACTTTCCAGCTATTAATTAATGATCTGATCTGATTTTCCAAATTAAAAACTCAGGAAACTCTGGTGGCATTACTTTCTTTATTTTTTCCCCAGTGCTCTATCGCTTAATCCTGACCTTGCAATGCTCTTTACTTTCACTTAGTTTCTACTATTTGTGTGATCATGCTGTGAACTAGATCAAAGAACTCATATGGCACAAAAATTCTGGAAAAACAAATGTTCCTTAGATTTTTTTTTTAAACCCAAACCAGTTCAGACTGCAGCAGTTTTGCTGGTGCAACTAGCAACACAGGAACAGAAATGAAGTATAACAGGCCGGAGAGCAGGAATATCTTAACCCAGTACTGGTCCAGCTCTGTAACTTGAAACCATGGCCTGACATAATCTGTGAGTAGCAGATTTGCATGTGGAATCACCTTGCTGATCTGCCACACACTCTTTTTGCTGGTAGAAATTGCAATAATCTTTTAAGTAAAAACAAGGCTTCAGTTTTCATCCAGGCTTAACTTAGTCAGCCTTGTCAATGAAGCACACAAGCATTTCTTTTAGCTACATTCAAACAAGCAGGTCAGGATTTCACCGTTACTGTGCTGCCTGTAGTCACACATCAAGTGTGCAGCAGAGCTGAGACTGGAGTTCAGCTCTTGCATGTGCCAGTTTTAATTTCTTGATTTCAATGGAATCCTTGCTGATTTACACAGGTAAGCAGCAGAAAGCAGTCATGGCATCCTGTTATTCTAACTTCAACACTTTTTACACAAGCAAAAGCCATAACATGGTTGAGATTATCCATGTAGCTAAATGCTTAACTTACCTTATACAGTATTGAGTCACAAACACAGAAGATGTCAACGATGACAGGATTTTCAAGCAGGGGAAGAAGATGGTCAGGCATTCCTTGCCAAAAATGTAATAAGAAATGCTGAATCTAAAGGAGTAGGAACCAGATTCATGGACATAAATAATGCTTTCTTGGCTCCCTGTGCATATATACCAAGAATGTATGTTCAAACAACCTTACCTCTTCAAAGTTTCCATTAATTGCATTGTCAAGGACACACTGACAGTGTGTTTTGTACATCATGATAAGAGTATCTACCTATTTTGGAAGAAAGAAAGATTAAACAGAGTTTCTTAGCTCTCTCCTGTACTGCTATAATGAGCTAGGTTTCTGCTTTCTGTAGCTAGTATTTAAATACAGAATATAAACTGTATTACAATGCATATTTGTAAATAGGCAGTCTGTATATTCAGAAGTGATGAGGAAGTCACTCATCTCTAGTTTTTATTGACATCTTTATGTCTCAGTGCTGTTGTCAGAAATGTAGCATCTGAATCTGTATACACTGTGAAAATGTGGATATCAAAGTAAGGCAATAGCTAGATTAGCCAGTCAGATGGTAAAGTAAATTCACCATTCTGAAGCTAAGATTAATCCCAAAGAGCAGTGCAAGTTAATCATTAGGCTACTATAGGCGTCTATAAGTGTTCTGAAACATCATCTAGTTGGACAAATGAGAAAATAGCTGCCAGTCATTTGGTCAAAGTTTAATCACTGCCTTACAAGAACTGAACTTTAAAAAGCAGAACTCCCTTTCATCTCATCAGGGTAATTTATCTGAGTGGAGTGTTCCCTTATTTTAATAACTTCACAGAGGTATTACAAGACTGTAAAAAATAGTAGTAAATTTTTAAATTTGTAGCAAATTCTAAAACAAGAATTTTGTAAAGTATTTTAAGGAAATAAAAATGCTAGCAAAACTATTCTTATGGTCCAGAATCACAGAAAGTTTGTTACAGCTTGTGAACTTCTCCAGCAAACCAATATCAGGTTTAGAATTAATCTAGTACCACTTTATTTCAATAGGTTAGCATACAGATTTCTTTGAAAACAGACCATGTTGACTTTCAGAGCTGCTTCTGTAACTACATCTCTTTGAAAAACAATGGCAAAGGGTGAGATTCAAGAACATCTTAAAGAATTTTTTTGGAAGGGGTTGATGGAAGTTTAAAGTATGAGTAAGCTTTCTGCAGAAACATAAAATGCAGAAATTATCAATCTATTTTAGTGCAGACTGCTACATTTATGGACTCTCCAGAGATTTCAGCTGCATGCACTTTCTTAGGAGTTTAATGCAGGAGTCAAACTTCATGTATGGGCTCTCTTCAACAGAGTACCTAAACATCTTAGGTTCAATAACCCTTCATCAGATAAGCTGAAGGAGGGGAAAGACAGTAAGGAAAGAAAACAGGAAATAAGAGAACAAGGAATGAGGAAAGAGCAGCAAGGGAAGAGAGAGAGGGAGACACACAGAATGTCATCTCTCTTCCCACAGTCTCCTCATAACTCCATGGGTCAGTCCCCAGACAGAGTAACCCGCAAAGCCCTGCTGGGCCCTCCCATCATCTGGTCCCAGCATCAGAGCAATTATATGCTGCTGGCCCAAAAATGAGGAGAAAATGAGTTGCATCTTTTTCTTCATTGTTGCAGTGGTAAAATTCAGTTTTGCTTACACTACTGTGTTGGGTCTGCAAGGAACCTCAAATGGTCTTCAGATTTAAATGTTATGAGAATGCTGTATATATGAGACATGTCAATTCACTGATGGAGACTATAGCAGCAGGTGATGCACACCGCTGAGTACACCAGTTCTTGGGTTTTCTTTACGAACTTCAAGACTTCCAGCTAAGGTCTCTGTATTACAGATGGCTCCTTTTGTTAAGCTCCTTACAACAAGAATCCTAAGCTTCACTACTTTCACAGAACAAACTTAAGAAGAAGGGCTCATAGAACAAAAAGCTTTAAAGCAACATATCTCAAGACAGCCACCATCATGACCTGTACTGGAGGGTAAACTGGAGAGTTCACAATGTGTACCAAAACGTTTCTAGCACAGTTCAGGGATGTAGCAGCCTGTAATGTGACCAGAAACAACACAGACGTAACATACAGGGAAGGAGTCAAAGACATAAAACATATGCCAGCAATACTTCTAACTGAACAGTTATCCTTAGGATGAGCAATACTGAGTATTGATTTGAGGAATACTATTTTACTAATTTAAAAAAAAAAGCTCAGATTTTCACAGTCTCTTTTCAAAAAATTAATGGAAGAGAGTAAAGTTCATCTAATTATTTGTTGTGAATTACTTGTTCTGATTCAATCAGAACAAAATTCACCTTAAATCCAAAGGCATTTGGAATGAATACAACTCTCAGTTATTTGTTTGTTTTGCTCTCCCCGTCTTACATACCATCAGTTTGTAAAATACTAGGTCAGTTAATAGGTAAATAATTCAACCACCTTTCCAGTGGAAAGCCAGTTAATCGGTGTTAGTAAAGGTTTGCCCCCTCTATAAATCAGTCACCTCTGTTTGATTATGGACATTTCTGGCTCTTTCATGTCAATACCTCAAAGGCTAAGATATGAAGAAACATTCTGTGGCAATTTTTGATCTGTAAGTCGGAAAAGAAGTAGCTCACATTTTACCTTGTCTTTAGAAATGCACCCTTGAAGCAAAAGGTGTTGAGCACTTGGAAACTCTGGGAGGAGAGTTCCAGTTTTGGAACTCAGAGAATATTTACGAGTGAAACCACCCTGAAATTGAAGGAAAAAACCAGGAACATTGAAATAGCTAATATAGATTCAACTGAAACCAACAATTCATGCTAAACTTGCATATTATCTCATGAGTCTCTCAACATTCCAGAATACTTACATTCAAATAAGCCTTCCAAAATATTGATGCTTATCCAGATCTGGATTCCAGCTCAGAAAAGTAATTAAATAAGTGCCTAGATCTAAACTCCACCCAATACAATTTTCAGAGTGATGCAGCCTTTGAGACACATTACTTCATGGAATTCTACAAGCTTTGGATATAATCTATGTTTAAAAAGTAAAGTAGAATACTACTCTCCTCTACAGTATGGACTGTGATATCCTCAGGGAGACCCTAAGTTTTATTTAATATGTATCTTTCTAGTGCAAGGATCTAGGGTACTGGAGATGTTATTCTCCCCTGCTCTCTTCCTGCTCTGAGAGCACAGCAACAGTGATTTCTGCTGTTTTACTATGTAACCACTATTTTAGTTTATCATAAAGTTTGATAATATTTTATGGTGTTATGGATGTGATGGTAGGTAGGGTCTATGGACACTTCTGAATTTATTATATAGGTCTCTGTGATTGTGGCAGACTTGACATGAAGCCCCAGTTTCATATCTCATAATAAGAACATAATAAGAACAATATTCCTAGCCGTTTAGTGTTCTTCAGTTACTTTGTCGAGACATGGTCAATGGTGACCTGGAGACAAGATAAATTCCTCCTGGATTATGCTAAATTCTGCTGATCTGAGAGTTTCTTTCAGTTCTCAGAGCTCACCTCTTAAGCCTCTTTAGCTTGTGACATCTGAAATATCGTAGACACATCTTGTACTAGTTACAGACTGAGAAAAGATCCTGAATAATTATTAGATGCTAGCCTTTGGAGAGATGGGATTGAAGGATGAAACAACAAGCAGCCTTGTATGTGTGGATACTGACCATGAAGCAATATATGGTAAATCAACCCTTGTTTAGACTCCTAACCTAATACTCTCACAAAATCTGGTTTAGTCTACTTCTCAGTAAAGCTGAGCAGTAACATTCTGTAGTGATATAGTGTTACTATGCTTATATTTATAATGCACACCACATTACACTTATTAAGCCCTCAAATGATACAATTAAGATGAAACCCTCATCCTCAAGAGAAGCAATAAAATCTGTATTATGATTCTGTCCTTACTGACTGAATTGTACTTGTTTTCATAGGACTGCATTCAAACCTAGAGAAGACTACTTGGCTGAAACCCTTTCTTCCATTTTAGCCTGCCCAGTCCTTATGTCAAGGCAGTGTACGGAGCCTTGAGCAGGCCGCCTGCACGTTCCTGCCATAAATCCACTACTCCTGTGCAGATTTCCTTTGTACTAATGGATGGAATTTATGACCGTGCACAAGGCATTTGAATGGTACTTGAAGTGGCCTTTTCCTACCCCTTTGCATACAGTCAGATTTCACTAAAGTGGGAGTAGTAGATATATAGTGTAACATATAGTGTAAAAGTGTGCAAAAGAGAGTATTTTCCTATACATGTTGACTCATGAATTGGAGGCCAGTGTCAAGTGAAATTCTCTCAAATACTGAATTCAGAAGCTATAGCTGTAACTGACTTATTCACCATATATATATATCCATCCCTATTTTTACAGCGTGATATGTCCGCCAAAACTGACAGCAAGAAACGAAAGCATACATTACGTAAACACACTTTGCCTGTGCTATCTACTATTCAAATACATATGAAGCTATAAGTCAAAGAAATTGTAGAAATTCAGAAACATTAGTACTTCTTCGTGCCAATACTTTTGCAGTTTTATAATTGCCTATCAGTATCAGGAGACTTGTTTTTTTTTAATAACAGGAGTAATCTCAATGGTTTTATTATGCAATTACCCATTAAATATATTAAAAGCTCTGATTAAAAGGTATTAGTTCATTTAAAAGAAGGCCGTGATGGTGGTGGGAGGTTTAAGAGAAGATAATCTGCAATGTTTTTTACCTTGCTAATGGACTTATATGACTGTGCCTCAGTTCTAGGCTTAATATTTTAACCCACTGCCACTTGCCCTTTCAATTTAATGCCATCTGTTTCTAATGGCCATTTAACATTAAGATAATGACAGTAATATTATCTGCCTAATTAACCATGCAGACTCTAATGGTGCACTAACTGGTTTAGATAAAAGAATTTGCTGATATCTCCCCCTACAGAGAGAATACTAGAAAATGTGATAAAACATACCAGAAGTAAACAGTGTCCCTGGCACTCAATAAGTGTTCATTCAAATACCATTTACTCAGTATATTTAGACAATCAGTGCTTTAACATCTTTTCAATGTCTTTATGTTCCTACTGAGAATTACACCTTATGCAATCATTGTAAACCTTTCTGGAATACCTAATCGCACGCACTTTCAAGCAAATGAATAAGGATATATCACCTCTTCACTTTAATGGAAGGTATGATGCCAAATTTTCAGTACGCTGAGATTGTTAAAATTCAGTTTTGACCATGAAAGCTGTTTTTTTTTCTTTTAAGATGTGCCTTAATAATTTCAGACAACACAGAGCTAGGCAATCAAAAACTCATAGATGTGCCTTTTCTCGCTTATTGCCACTGACTTCTCTGTGATTCTTTTTCTGGAAGGACGAAGGGATTGAACTTTGGGGCAGAAACAAGACAGGTTTATGGGACTGTCAGTTCTCAAACAGACTAGGAATGCTGCATCAGAGATGGAAGTAAATGTGCATTCATTTATGCCAAGGAAACCAGAAATTTTCCATCCCGAAACTCTGAAAGAATGAATGCTGTAGTAGTGCCCATGAATCCTTGAATATGTTGGGGATATCCCATGGCATAGCACTATCTTTTTTTGATAAGATAGCTGATTCTCTAAACAGGGAAAAATGCAGCATATCTAATCTATCTGAACCTCACTAAAATACTTGACGTGGTGTCACCATGGGAAATAATTAGTTATGCTGGTGACAATGGGAATTAGTACAAGAATGTAAAATGTTTAAGAAACTGACTCCAGCTGAAATGCTAACAAATTGTGTTGACAGGGAAACTACTGGGTTGAAAAGGGATTGAAGTGAAGATTCTCAAAGATCAGAGTTGGGGCTGATCTCATTGAACATTTCACAGATTAAATTGGCTGACATGAGCTAATGAAATCATCAATAAAGAGGAAGACCAAGAGGTCATGTAGAAAGATCTAGATGGCTTTGAGATAATGGCAATAAAGGGGATGAAAAGCTACACTCTCAGGGACCAATAAGAATTTCTGCTATCAGCTAGGAGTTGCTTATCTGGAAATGAAAAAGGAGAAAGACTTGCTGTGTGTCAGTTGGTCACAGAGGGTATATTTAGTCTGGTAAATTAAATGGTGTCAGGAAACATTCCCAGGCAATACTGGAACAGTATTATTCAGAATGGCCCCTGGCATTCTTTTGGCCCATGCCAATTAGCAGTCTCCCAAACAATTCCTAGTCATGTTTCAACAGTTACTGCATGCTAGGGACTTTTCTCTGTGGCAATGTGGCTGAGATGTGCCTATGGTGTTTTGTAAGTTCAGGAGTTTAATAATATGGATGCAGGCTATTCCACGCCAGTTGAACTCAGTGTCAAAGAACAATCCTGGGAGCAATTCTTAACCCTTAATGTACAATAATCCATAATTTTCTAGTATAAATACGACCAGAATGCCAGTGACTATACCATAGTAAACATTAGTGAAAATGTAGGCTACTTGTGGGGAAAAACCAACCAAACAAAAACCAAATGCAGTTCTAGGGTTCATCAGAAGGGATATTTCCAATAGAAATCGGAGATATGCCATTTACAAGACTTTATGATTTTTTTTCTATAAAGATATTCAAATCAGAACAAGTACAATGAAAGACTATAGGGCTGATCAGAAGTGACTAAAAGCTGCTGCTTGTTCCATCTACCAAGCAAAAGCAGCGAAAAGACATATCACAGGAAAATCTCACAGAGAGCAAAAAATAGAGAAAGACAATCCTGACCAGGAGGTATAAAATTCAGTTTATTAAAAAAACCATCTTTTGGCTTCCAGTCAGACAAATGAGACTCTGAAAAAAAAAGTAACGGACGGAAAAAATTAAGCTCGAGCTTGATCCTTTGCTTAAGAGGGTCTATTATGAACCTCTGTAGTTATGGGGAACTGGATTGGAACAGGAACCCCAGAAGGTGCCTCCCAATCTTATTTTCCTTTGAATATTTAGAGAAGCAAATACTCAGCTTCATGAAAAAAGGTCATGCAGTATAATCTTTGATGAAAAATATTGCTGTAATTTTCAAAGAAATGAAGAAAACCACAGGTCACATATTTGGATTACAGCAGAAGTGAAAGGAAACAGACTACAGCACTTACCTCATTCTTTAATTTGCTTCCAGAGAACCTTTGAAAATAAACACATTTGATTATTTTTTCATAAGCAGAACATTTTTAGAGCTTGTATATATATATATATATATACACACATAAAATAGATATATGAAATAGATCAATTAGAAAAACTATCACATTTTTCCAAATGTAATTATAACAAAAATCATGCTTTTTTCTGAACTTCTTCCATTGATTTGCAAGTGCCTGAGGATATCGGGAAACTTACTGATGTCTTCTAACACATGAAGATTCAGATCACTGACCAAACAGTAAAGTACAAAACCCAGTTTCAGTTTTTTCTTTGGATCTTTGCAACTTCACAAATATCAAAAGAGCAGCATGGGTGCACGTCCACAAGATCATTACCAGGAAATACATAAAGTTTTTGATACAGCTGAGTAAATTCAAAGTAGAAAAAATGCATCTAGAATTTACACTTCCCAGGAAAATGAAGAAATCATGGTGATTTTCCATTCTTTTTCACCACAGTATTATTTTGATGCAGGTGAAATGCATTTCTGAGATCAAAGATTCATTAACTGTCAAAAATGTGTTGCAGTATAGTGAATGTCGTATTGAGAGTCCAGTTGAGAGATTGCCAATGACATTATTAGACTATCATCAGGCAACTCTTCAGTGCAGAAATTAGAAAGCACACATTTTAAATTATAACTACTAAGCTGGAGAACGTGTAATGACAGAGATTCTAATGGATCAGTATAATGATAAATGTTGTTTGATTCTTGTTATTTCCTGTTCTGCTAGCTGCCAACTGATAAGATACTGTGGGGCAACATGAAGTCGTATAATTATTAGCAGCAATATTGTGATTTCATATTGTTGAGATGCTCTGCTGGCAGGACAGAAAACCAGAGGCTGAGCGGTTGTGGAATTCCTCCTGCCCAGGCCAGGCACAGGCGCCTGACCGTCCCCATCACATGATTATGCAGCATATGTTACCTACAGAGTTCCCTTGCTTGTTAATAGATGAGTATGAAAGAAGGCATCACTCAGCTGATTACAACATGGAGATAATTAGCTTCATAGCTGGATGTATTTGTTACGGACTGTGGATTTCCACATGTGCAGCAAAATGTACACAGAACGTACAGCAAAAACATGAGGCAGCATCTGCTAGAATTGCTCCTCCAGAGCCTTAATTGCTAGATAAAGCTACCCTTCACACAGTGCTGTGGATACTAATGATATTTGGTGTTAGGTATGCTCCTTTCACAGTGCAAGGCTTGATATTTAAAGGAACCAGGAGGTCAAATTTACAGTGGAATTGAAGGATTCTGGCATCTGCAACCCTGCATTTAAGGACTACTGTACTCAGCTCAATTACCTAAATATTAATACATGAACGCCAATTGAATTCGAAACAGCAGTAGAGGCCTACATTTAGGCAATTAAACTGAGGCCCATTGCCCCTGCTAATCTTTTGACAAGCTGCCATCTAACATGCAAGCCTTGTGGTAAAGGCCTCCATATGCCTATATTTGTGCATGGGCATGGTGTGATCTGATACCATTATCAACCCATATATTTTCCCTGCCTATTTCTGCCCCAAGCTTGATCCAGGAACCATTTTTATGGCTCACCTACAAGAACAGACATCAGACAAAGGACAGATTTTATGATGGATCATTACATGCAGCAGCCAGCAACAGGGAGATTCACTCTCACTTTTGAATCCCTACACTGCCTGACTCTTTCCTTACCCAGAAGCTTGTTCTTAACCCCAGGCTACCGTGTCATTCTCTTCACACAGACAAATCCAACCACAATGATGGCCCAGACTGTGCAAAATGAGCATTTGAGCTTCTGTTCTAAATCAGCTAGGGAGGCAATCTGACTGCTGGACCCTGAAAATTCAACATCTCATACATGAGAGCACAAGTCCTAACACAAAGAAAAGGTTCCTAACTAGTGAATCTAGTGAGTACTCCTGAAAATCTTAGAGGGTATCTATGCCATCTTTATGTGAGCGTATACCGTTGGACATCTAGCTGTGGGGGAATTTTGCAGAACCTCCACTTTCTTTGCATTCATTGCTGCTAGATTGTGCAAAGACAGAGCTTTACATGAAAAGGGCACTGGCTGACATAAAGCTGAGGACTAAGAGTGATTATATTCCCTTAAATGAAAATAACTGTCTTTTAGTCAATTAAATGAACAATTTGTTCCAAGATAATTCTGTATTATGAAAGAACCTCATCTTGCTGTGTACCAGCAACACCTCCACAGCTCTGGATAAATGCCATTTCTGGACAAGGAAATGGCATATTCCAGTCTATTATGCCTTAAGTCCTGCAGTGGAGAGATCCCTCCTTTTAAGCATCATTGGCAACATTACCCTCAATTTTTACACTTGTCCTATTGTTTGGAAAAAGTCTCTTTCAATATAATCTAAATCTGCCAGCAGTTGCATTTTCTATGTGTGATTATAAACTCATTTATTCCTTTCCTTTCTCAGAGTCCCCACTTACACAGGTATACTGCCGTAGACAATGAAAGCCGTCATTCAAGCCATATGTGAACAGAGACATTTGTTTTACGAACTATTAATCTTTGGCAAACCAACAGGCAGCTATCGTAACGTATTGATCCTGCTAGCTGTCCCTTAAATAAATATAATTAGAGCTTCCTGGGTTAGGTTTAAACTGATATTAGCCAGTCAAAGGACCTGTAAATATTAATCTACACTGACCCCTCCCTCCTGCCCACAGGTGCCAGCTTCACACCATTCTCCAGACGTTTCATAATGAGAAGCTGTCCTGGGGAAAGAACTCAGAGGGTGACATACAAGCAAACAAAATCAGACGAGTGTTCTGGAAATGGTGTTTTGCTGCCTTACGCTAACTTGAACAAATCCTCTGCTGGTATAAGTTGATGCAGCTCTACACTGACTGAGGTGGGGCCATACTGGATGATATTAGCAAAAGATCTTGTTAAAACAAAATTGATGTCTTCAGGGAGCAAACTGCTACCTAAATCTGGGAATGCCAGACACTGAGATATGGAGCAATACTAGTTCTGGTATCAACAACAATTACTGTCCTACAAATACCTTCCCAAGAGAAGGTTAAAGCTAGACCTTCACTGACTAAGTCTCAGAAGTTATGTTATTGTACCTGGTTAAGCCTTTTCCAGAATACACAGAGTGGTAATATGCACTACTTTCTTTAATGCCAATTCCATAATAGTGATACCTGTGGAAAAAAAAGAGGTGTGTTTATAAGTGATGTGTCATGTAAAGCAAACTGTCAAACTGATTTTCAATGCTTTCCGAAAACTTTTCTTAACAGTGTCTACCAATTCCTTTCATTGACATGGAACAAAATCTGGTCTGATAGAAAACAATATTGTCATGATTTGATCCAAAATTCAAGGCTGGGATCTTCTTTAAGTTTAAAACACTCAGTCTCTTACAAGAATGTAGCTGGAACAGCAAATCTCCTAGAAACATGTTACATCTCTTTTCCCTAATGTGCACTTATTTTACTTTGTTTGTTGAAAGGGTGCTGGGTTTGATCTACCAGGTTTATCAGGTTTAAAACTGTTATATTTAGACAGTCCCACAGAGCACTTTTCAGTTGAAAGTAACTCAAGAGTGTACCCTGTAAATCAGTGTTCAGCCTCCTATGACTAAAAATGCTAACACGTCATTCATTCATCCTACTCTCAAGTTGTAGGGTGACCGACTCTGCGGAATTATTTAGCTGCTTAAGGAGTTCTCATCCACATTTGTCTCCCTTGCTGCTCTCCTGGAAAACATTGCTCCCAAAGAGAGCTGGAAGAAGGAAATGTGCCTGTTGCTCAGCCTCTGCAGTGCTGAGCCCAACACCTTAACCAAAGACACTGAAGAGGGTGGATTGGTGCTAAGAAAACTGGCTATGCAGTAGGTACTTATTACTTTCCACTGATTTTGCTACAAAAGAAGTGACCTTCAGGAGAAGGGCAGGAGAGCAAGCTGGGGGCAGCTCTTTCTTTACTGGTCATAGCAAAGTTTGCTTGAGTTCATCTGTCAAAGGTGATAGGCCCTGTCTTATAAATTCCACTCAATAGATTTAAAAACTGATTGTGTTAAACCAAATTTGTCTAAGAATGTTATGGACAGTATAATCAGGATCATTTGTTTTTTTCTAAAGCTAGCTTGAAAGCACCATGGCAGCTGGTTTAACTGAACTGCTTCAAAGTAACGCTTGTAGTTCAAGTGCATTGCATGTAAAGCAAGCCTAACACAGAGGTAACGCTTCGCAACGCATTGCGCTAATTTCACTGAAACTTCTCAAAAGCTTGAAGAAATGCACTCTTAAGACACAAAGCCCCCAGTAAATAGTTCATAAAACACATAAACAAAAGTTTTCAGCTCATCTCTGCTGTTCCTGATGATGTCCATTAAAAAAACCACAATCTTACTGTTGGTTCTTGTATGGGACAATCACAGAAAAGAACAAAACCCTAAAATTCTTTATATTTACAAAGCTGACTGAAAGCATTAGATACAAATGATATTTAAGAAAATGTTCATTAGGATGATATATTTCCTTGGCCTAGGTAGCTTTAAAAATCTCAGCTGAAATAGTCATTGTGTTTCTGGACAGACTGTGGTGTGCATTCAGCATTTTACAGCCAAGAAATGTGACAGAAAGTGGCTGCTGTTAAACATCATAGATTTTACTGTTTGCCTGAAACTGATGAGCCTACATTACACCACTAGATCGCAGTAGTGCCTGGTGGCCCATATGAAGGACAAAAGTTTCTCACCTATTTCTTCACTGTTAGTTTTCTTGCCCCGTAAGTGCATTTTTCTGAGGGATGGTGATGTGGTGAACTGATCATTTTTAAATACCTGTTAATACTCAGAAGCTCAGACATAGGACCATCTGCTCATAACAGTTCCCTTTTTATCCATCAAAGTCAGAGTTGGCTGATCAAAGCAAAGTGACACATCAAGGTGGTTTAGGATGCCAATGGGACCTTTCATTAACTGTCATAATGCTAGACAGTTGTCCTCTGTTTCACACACAGTACTGCGTCACCTATGTTGTGAATTAAAGTCCTGAATGTTTTCAACCACTGCTTTTGCTTTAAACAGACACATTTGGGACAAAGACCTGGATCTGGAAATTCCTAGTATTTGACAGAGTTCTGACACAAATGCTAAAGGCATGAACATTTTTTATTCTTTCAGGAAAATGAAGTAATTTTAGATATGACGTAAGAGGTATTGAAAATACACATGTATGGATTCTTTCAAATAACAGCATTTACTTAGTCTTGACATTGCAAAGGTTGTGCATTGAACAGGATGAAAAACAAAATAGAGCTGTGACCACTTCTTTAACAATGTTATCTGCACATTTGTCATTGGCCATGTAAGCAAGTTGCCTACATCTCATTCCAACACCCTCAATTTCCCAGTTTCAATCACAGGCCATTTTTTAAATTCTAAAAATAAAAGTTCACACTTTCACCACAAATTTGGAATTCCCTCCTGCTAAAGTTGGAGTGGACCAGAGGCAAGGAAAAGCATTACTTCTTTACAACGTTAGGATTCAATACCTAGATTATTCAACAACTAATTCAATATTAACATATCTGGGCTAGAAACAGGAACTATTGTATGATTTGGATTCTCAGGTTTCCAGTGGTAGGCAATGTACTTGTTCTTGCTTTGGACTTCCCTAAGATATCAGAATTTACCATTGTGATATTTTGTTACGTAGAGAATAGATAGTTTCAGTACCTATTCAGTGTGTCTTAAAGGCATAGCAGCTATCATTCTGATTTCCTTCAGCGTTTTGTGTAGTTGAATTTTTGGTACTAAAAATACAGCTTTCCAGTCATGACACAGAAGCAATTAAAAAAATTATAATCTGTACTTTTCAAGCTCTGTCTGGCATACTTCATAGAGTGATAAGGTATAAAGATTTTTATTCTCTAACAAGTCAAAGCAATTAGCTGAATAGCTTATTTTGGACTCTCTGTTGAGAGTAGTATACCCATTCCAGACACGCTGATAACATCTTTGATCTACAACTTCAAGTACCTTCTTTCTGTCTCTTTACACGCATATTTCTATGCATATATACAGTATAAATGTATTTTACTATTTATGTTTCTACTGTATAATTAATAAAATTAAACAGTCATCATAAGGAACTTATTCTCAATTTTTGTAACACAACTTTTAAAAAACAAGCTGAACTGCTTTCCTCTTTTAATTTCAGTGGTTTGTTGTAACATATGTTCCTACGCAACTAGTAGCCCTGATTTTAGCATACACTGACACAAATGATAGCTGATAAGGAAATGATAGGCTTAAGCTGTTCAGGGACTTGCAATAACTTGTTATCACAGAGCCAGCTGCCATATCAGTTTTATTAACCCACTAAATCACTCCTAATAAATAAGATAATAGTTTTCAGACATGATGGATAAAACCTAAGATTCATCATTGATCAAAGTCTACAAAGAAATTAAATTGTAACTTGAGCTCAGTCTTCTGTGTGTATGGACTGAGCAGTATGTACGCTTTCCCGAATAGCTGCTCCAGGTAATTCATGTACTGTGAAGATTATAACCAAATTCTAGCAGTGACCACAGTATGTTCAACATTACCTGTGCAAGAAGGCGGATTCAGAACCTGCTGCACAGACAACCGTTGCTTATGAAATATTAATTTAGGAGAGCAGTTTGCAGTATTTATTGTGCTGGGTCTTCTTCCACTCAGC